GCTGGCGTCGTCATGGTGACCGAGCACAGATTTTTTCCCCCCACAAGAGCCCCGCGGCGGAGGAGGAGAGGAAGGCTGGGGGGAGAGGAGGAGAAGGAGGAGGGGGGTGTTAGGGGGCCGCCCCTCGCGCAGACCCCGCCCCTCCATAGGCTCCCCCTATGTCCCAAACCAGCGCGGACCCTCACCCGGCTCCAGTGGTCGATGACCCGGCTGCCGCCGCGCCTCTCCCTGGGCCGGGACTCCCGACCCGAATTCGCTCAGTCTGCTCAGACAGCAGCTCCCGCCGCCGCTGCCGCCATGGCTCGGGCGCTGGGGCCCTACGTCACTTCCGCCTGCCCCTCCACTCCCCCCCACCTCCAACCCGGGCAGCTGAGACGTCACCCGCCGCTCGGGGCGCGGGTGGGACGCGACGTGGGCGCGGGGGTTCCCCCGCCCACGAGCGACGTCCGCCTCCCTTAAGGAGGCAGGGTCCCCGGCGTCCCGCGCCACGTGGGGGCCACGGTCCCGCCCCCGGCCCAGCACGGTCGCAAGACGTGCCTCCAAACCTTAGCCGCCGTTCCTCTCCGGATCCCCTCCACTCGGGGCCTCCGCCCCGGAGGGCGGGGCCTGGGTACGCCCGGACCCCGGGAGGGGACGGAAGGCTCGGGAAAAGGGCCACCTCCCCCAGTCTGCGTACCCCTGGCGGCCCAGGGGAATCCCACCTCTCCCTAACTTCTCCGTAACCCCAGCCCGGGATCCTGGGGAAAAAAGCTGCCAGAGATCTTTTGCAGTTTCAGCCCTCCAGTCCTGGGAGCGCAACGAAGTCCAGAGGTGCCAGGATTCCCCTCAACACCCTGGGAACTTGCTCCACCCTTCGCTTTGGCTCTCCCTAGACCCTCCGACGCGTTCTCCCCTCGAGGTTTGGGGGCGGCGGCTCGGGACGTCCAGACTCAACTCTCGGCCGGAGCCATAGACTCGAGAATTGCGTTTGGACAATCAAGAGCCGCGGCCCGGGGCGGGGAAGGGAGGAGCACGGGAGGAATGGGGCAGTGGAGACACCACGCGGAAGCAGGGACACACACACACACACACACACACACACAAGATGGGGCCCCTATCGGGAGGGGCGCGTGTTTGGGGGGGCATAATGGACGGAATGTCTGGAGTTGGGAAGTGAGCAGAAGCCTCCTTCAGGACTCTGGAGGAAAGGAAGGGGACTAGGAGGAAAGAGAAGAGGACGGGGCAGAGCGATCCCCACTGAGGGCTGAGGATGAGGGGAGTAAGGGAGAGGCCGTCATGGGCCTCCTGTCCCCCCACCAGTCTGAGCTGGGGCTCCCGGACTTGGGCTGTGGCTACCAGGGGTGGCCTGTCTCTGGAACAGGGTAGCAGTGGGTCCCATCCCCCCACTTCCCAGGTTCCCCCCTACTTCCCTGTCCTCTCCTCTGTCCGTGGCCAGTCCTTATGTGGGCTCCAGAGTCGATTAGCACCGACCCCCTCCCCTTCCTCCTCCTCCTCCCAGCCCCCTCCCTTCTGCTCTCCTCCAGCTCCTTTCATCGGCTGGTCCATTCCCCTAATCCTGGCCCCCTCCCCTAATCCCCCCCATCCGACCCCAGGCCGGCTGCAGCTATTGTAAGGTGGAGAGAAAGGGGAGGGGGGAACTCAGAGAAAGCAGAGGGATGGGGGAGGGCCACCTGTTCCAAGACCCCCTCCCAAGGACAGACTGGACACTGGGATGGGGCCATGAACAAATTACCCTTGGGGACCATAAGGACCCAGAGAGTGGGGGTGGGGCTCAGGCTGCAGGACCAGTGGAAGGGGGTGGGGCAGAGACCCCTCCCTCCAAAAAACCCAGAATGTCACGCATACACAGTGACATACACTCTTTCCTCTCACACCCGGCGGCGGGGGTTGCCCTGGGAGACCAGGCGGTGAAAGGGAACAATCCTTCGGGAAAAGGAAAGGAGGGGGAGGTGGGGAAGGGTCTGAGGAATCAGACACAAGAAGAACCGGAGGTGGCAGGGAAGAGGATTTGGAATTTATTAGGGTCACAAGCACCCCTGCCTCCCATATTCAGCATTCCCGGGTCATACAGTGCCACCCCTTTTGAAGCCTGGGAACTTAAGAGTCCACATCAGCAGGAGGCCAGGCAGGGTGGTGGGGGAGTGAGCAGAGTCCAGAGTCCTTGAAGCAGTTACATGAAAAGACCTCCTGGGAGGAACAGAAACATTTGGGGAGATGAAAAGGTGGAGAAATGAATGGGCTAGGGAGCACCCACTTTTGTCCCTGGCCTACAGGAAACTCAGCCCTTCTCCACTGGCTCCAGACTCTCCCAACTTGCTTTCTCATCTGCTCTGGATTCCACTTCTCTACCCTCTCCCTCCCTGCACCGGCCTCAGGGGCTTCTGTACCAGTCACTTCCACTGAGGCCCCTGTGATGTATCCACTGTCTTCAGATGCCAAGAATGCGACCACATCTGCCACATCTATGCAAATGGTGGGAAGAGGGCAGAATCCTGCTCACCCCCATGGACCCAAAGCAGCCATTATCTCCCACCCCAAACACCTCCTTCTCCGACAGACATACAAACACACAACACCCCAACGATCAGTCCTGGTGAGGCCCTCTCACCAGGACACCACAAACCACCATGAGGCCTCTTCATTCAGGTCGCCCTCCCCACTCAGTGCTCACCCTCAGGGTCCCCCATATGTCCCATCGGGATCATTCCAGTCACCTGTAAGGAAACACTCATATGTACATGAAAGTGTCTTTTATGGATCTTTTTGTACACTGAGCCTGTGGCCCTTCTTTTGTCATTCATCCATCTGTACATTTACTGAGCACCTACAGTTTGCCAGGCTGTGTGCTCAGCATTCTCTTTTTGAAGGTCAGAGAAAATTATGTCTGAATGATTCTGCCCTCCATTCACAGCTTCCTACCTTATCTATCACTTTCTGTGGTACCTTCTGTGTCATGGGTGTTAAAATGAACCCTGGGAGGACAGAGTTACAGCGGATCCCGTATCTGTTGAGGGAGAGTGGGTGCTAAGTCTGGAGGGGATTGTACACTGGCACCTTCCCTCTGAATCCCCACGTGCCTCAGTGAAGGCCCTCATCAACCCCAGGGGTCTGACCAACCGTCCAAGCTCCCGGGCTACAGTCTGGGTCAGCCCTATCACTCCTGCCTTGGAAGCAGCATAGTTCGTCTGTCCCACATTGCCCACCTATAGAAGAATCAGAAGTCTGATATGAGTCATTACTTCCAAGGAGGGGCTCTCCTTTCTATGTTCATTTGGCTGGCCAACCTCCTCAACATAGCCTGACCTTTCCTATGATGCTACTGATGTTGATGATGGAGCCATGACAACCATTGGACACCAGCGCTTGGGCTGCTGCCCGAGTGACAAGAAAAATGCCCTAGGGAGAGGGTAACAAGGCAGAAAAGATCAGCTAGGGTGACAGCCCTCCTCCAACTCCCAACCCAGGCTGGGGAGGCCAGAAGTCACAGGTTCTGAGGTCACCTTGAGGTTGACAGCTATGACTTTGTCCCAGTCCTCCTCAGACATATGAATCAGAAACTCATCCCGGGTGATGCCTGCACAGGACACAACGACAGATGGTGGCCGCGAAAAGCTGGCCTATGGGAGGGGGAGATTACACATCAAAAACTACTAGGAGCCAGTGAGTGGGGGCAGTGTCAGCGCTTTAAAGGTGGGTGGGGGCGAGGTCGCTTAACGTTCACCTGCACTTGTTCCAACAGGCGTCTAGCGGCCCCAGCCTCAGATACATCAGTTTGGAAGGCAGCGTGGGCCCGGGGGAACGCCCCCTCCTTGCTCCTTGGCCAGCTCATCAGCCGCACGGTTTCCTGTGCTGCTGCCCCGTCTAGGTCGCAGGCAGCCACGGCGGCTCCCTCTCTGGCCAACCGTACGCTAATAGCCCGGCCGAGGCCGCTGCCCGCACCTGGGATAAGAAAAGAATACGCCCTGGACATATAGAAAGGGCAGGGATCAGAAGTCACCGGGAGCAAAGTTAGTAAAATTCGGACAAGCGACCAGCCGTTACAGCCGCTGCTTGGTCGGAGGGTTCGCCCCTTGACATCACTCCGGAACCCAACCCTCCCCGGGAGAAAAACCCCTCAACCTGTGACCAAGGCCAGCGAGGTGCCAAGTCGGAGCTGAGACGCCATGGCTGGCTGCGGGAGAGCAGGCAACATCGATCAGAACCAATCGGAGAGCAGAGAGGGCGTAGGGAGTGTAAGACTGGAGCCAATAAAAGCCTTGCCAGCGTTAGGCCATCTACGGCCACCAGTTCGCGTGGACCTCCCATTGCGGAGGCGTGGCCAGACTGCAGGATTAGTTGGCCTGGTGAGCTTAAAGACAAGACCCCTTACCCCCCAAAAAACAGACAAAGACTACATGTGGGGCACAAGATCCCAGGCCTTTATTTCTGGTCACCACCCTACCCCTTGATTCAAACACAGCGATATAAAAAAGAGAAGCAAACAAAATGATTTGGCCATGAGATTAGCAACTCTTTCCCCTTCCCACCCACCCCTGCTAATCACTCCCAAATCAGGGCACACGATTGATATTTATTCCCAATTTGTCCTGCCATCTCCTCTGTCCAGGACTCTCATCTTCCCTGAAATCTCTTCCAACACGTAGGAGAGAGGGAGGTGCACCTCGGAGAAGCGTGTGTGGCAGCTTGGTCCTCAGAACTGGAGGTGTAGGGGACACTGGGTAGGCTGCCATCATCCTACTCCTTCCAGCCAGCCAGTCTTCACATCTCTATTTAGCCCTGCAATCCAACACAATGGTCCCTCTGGCCTCTCATTCTCACCTCTATAGCCCCTGTAAAACTGCCAAAACTTGATGGCCCTAATGCCAAAGTCACCACTCCCTTAGGCAGGAACTCACTCCTTTTGCAGATATCCCTGGCAAGGGCTCCCAACCTTCAGACTTCTAATCTGGAGTGAGAGGATAGGGGCTTGAAGCAGGACTGGAGGCAATTTATCCCACCTTTCACTCTAGGTGGGCAATCAGCACCATCATGACAACTCCCCCCAGCAGCCCTAACACCTCCAAAAGTGACTGCAGTGGTGATGCTTCCCTTAACAGCTCAGGCAACACAGACACGGTTGCCACATAGATGAAGCCACCTGCAGTGAATGGCAGCACCCAGCCAGGACCTGTACTGCCTGAAACTTCACTGCCCACTGTCCCTCCTTCAGTTAGCAGGGCACAGGCTGTGCCCACCAGTGCCCCTATTGCTGTCACCAACTGTAGACGCATCGCCTGGTGGGCAGAAAAGAGAGAGGCATTAGCCATAGGAAAAGTGCATCAGTGCTTTAGCCACGGCTGGTAGTATATGGGTATACATGGGTAGAATCTATGTCTTTGGAAACTAAGCAAAAAGAAAAGGGTCTAGAATAAATATTTTCCGGAAAATCTTAAGAGACCAAATTGGCTAGAGTAGTGATCCTTTCCAGAAATTCTGATAGTAGCTCAGAGTAGAGGGTAGGATAAAAATAAACCATTTAATTTATAGGCTACATTTTAAGAAATAATGAACTACAGGACAAAGAAACAGAATTTCCTTCCCCTTGTTTTTAGGAGATCTGTTGTCAGAGATAGTATGACTTGTTTGAAACTAAGGAGTGGCATTCTTGGGTTTGGGGTGGGCAAGTAGGGACACAGGGCTTCAGACAACCATGTCTGGTGCAAATCATCACCAACCTGCTTTTTGCTGCAGCCAGACTGGACCAAGATGGCAAAGTCCCCAACTTCATGGGGTACTTCATGTAGCAGGACAGTCAACGTGGTCAGGATCCCCAGTCCCCGGCCTCCTCGAAATGAAGCACCAATTGCCAGACCATCCGTGAAATTGTGTGCCAGGTCAGCAGCCAGATTCAGGTACCCCGATACACGTAGGTCTTGGATGAGGAAAGGAAGATGGACCATTAGAGGAATCCATCATCCTCAGTCCCAGCCCTGGTCAGCCATTCTCACACATCCTCTAAGAGACTACCTCACACCTCAGTGTTTCTCAAATACCTGCTGTCATGAATTGCGCATATTCCACAATGATGCCCTTTGCTCAAGCTGATCCCAAGCATGATCCTCACCTGAGCCTGTTGTTTCCTCTCCAGAGTTCTGAGGTCTCCCTGGCCCATCTTTGGGCCCTATGCTCCCTCCTTTTCTCTTCCGTACCCCCCCTGTATCCTTTTCTTCTTCCTCTGAATTCTGCTTTCCCTTTGAAGAAGGCTCTGAGGGCAGAAAGGAGTTGGTGAGAATGGGGAACAGAGATCTCTGGACGAAGAAAAGCCCTCTCCCACCTAACAGCCATAAGATGAGGAGATACTGAGGCAGGCAAGATGGCTTTCAGGAAAGTTGTTCTTGGGCTCACCCTGTCTTCCATGGCCATGACTTCCATGTGTGTGACCGTGAGTGTGTCCATGTCCATGTCCTCCTTTCACATGTCTTACAAATTTCTCCACCACAAGAAAGGCAACAATTCCACTGAGGACCCACAGCCCCACATAGAGAATGGGGCCCTGGCCTGGGAATGGAGGCATTGAAACATTAAGAAAAAAATGCAAGGTTCAGATTTCTCCTCCCTAAATGTAGGAGATGAAGATTAGGGAGAGAGAGACCTTCCTCAGCCATCATCTCAACCCCATCCCTGTCTGCCCCTTTCTCACCACTGTGAGAGTGTCCATGTCCCAATGGCTGTTCCACGTGGTGGTGAGAATGAGGCTCTGGAGAAAGAGAGAAAAAAAATCCAGATGAGGGAACAACCTACCTATATATGGATAATATTGGAAGGTCAGAAATTACAGCAAAGAAAGAACTTTCTTGTCCAAAGAGTAAAATATATTATGATTTGAGATAGAGATCAGAAGTCACTTACCCAGAGCATGAGGGATGAGGTGCAGAAAGGCATCTCCCAGAAGCCCTCCTGAAGCAAAACTGAGCAAGATCTGGAGCAGAGAGCGATGCCGGGGGGAGTTTGACTCCACCGGGATAAGGAAGAGAACGAAAAATGGAGCTGCAGAGATCAGCACTGTGGCCCCAAGTGCCTAGTGAGGGAGAGGAAGGGGTCAAATGATGCGGGGTTTCCTAATAATCCAGAACCAGCCCCTCTCTCCCCCATCCCCTGGGGACTCACATAGGCCCAAAGAGCGACAGTGTCCAGGTCCTGCTTGATGCCTGGAGCCCCAGACTCCCCATAGCCTCCATGGCTATGCTCATGTCCTTGGTGGTAGAGGCTCTCATGGGAGTGGCCATGGCTATGGCCATGGTGCAAATCCTCATGTGAATGTCCATGGTCGTGACCGTAGGTATGCCCATGCCAGATGCTCTCGTGAGTGTGGCCATGGCCATGGGCATGGCTGTGTCCATGATGTAAATCCTCATGTGAGTGACCGTGGCTGTGCCCATGGAAATCCTCGTGCAGGTCGTCGTGCAGGTCGCCATGACCCCCGTGTCCGGCCACCAGTAGCCCCAAGGCCGCCCAGGTCAGCAGTCCCACGGCCACCCAGTGGGGGCCCCCCAGGCCTCTGGCCATCATGCTGACCAGAGGGACAGAGACAGTGACTTCACTTGACCCTCAACTCTATACCTACCCAGGATCCGCTTTACTCTGCTCGGACCCTCCGTCTACCTCTAAAGACCACTCCATTCCATTTTGTCCCCACCCACATGGTTCCCAAGACTCGTTCTTTTTATCCCGAACCCCCTCCCGGATGCAGGGCCCCGCTCTAGTCTCCGAGCCTCCACTTTATGGACTCTCTGGGCCCTCGTCTCTATGATCCACCAGGCCGGTAAAAAAGCCTGGAAAGAACAGTAGGGAAAAAAGCAGGAAATTCTCACCGGCTCCGGGATCCTCTCCTTTCCCGGTTTGCACGGACGTGGCAATCCCGCCGTTAGCTCCCGCGAGAACAGGAAATTCCGTTTTACCTACGTCTCAATACCTTTACTAAGATGGCGGCTCTCCGGTAGCGGCAAAGCCACCTCGCCCTGGCGAGCATGCGCGAATGTGGAGGTTATTTGAGGAGAGGCTGGGCGAGGCCGACTTAAGACTGAGAACCACCCTCTCCGTTTCCAACTAGACGAGGAGGCGGGAACTAACGTCAAGACTTCCCGTCTATACCAATATGGCTGCCACACCGGCGCTGTCATTTTGGTGCAGAGCAGAGCGAAGCGCTTAATTCGACCCAGTCCAGGCCCAGAGTCTTTTTCTCTGGGGCTTCTTCGTGCTCAGCTAGTCACTCGATTAATCCTTGGGAATCCCTGGAACCTCTCCGGTATCCCTACACTCAACTAGGAATCATGTCTTGGGCTGCTCGCCCGCCCTTCCTCCCCCAGCGGCATGCCGCAGGGCAGTGTGGGCCGGTGGGGGTGCGAAAAGAGATGCATTGTGGGGTCGCGTCCCGGTGGCGGCGGCGACGGCCGTGGCTGGATCCCGCAACGGCGGCGGCGGCAGCCGGAGAACAACAAACCCCGGAGCCGGAGCCGGGGGAGGCTGGACGGGACGGAATGGGCGACAGCGGGCGGGGTGAGTGTCCCGGCAGGCGGGCAAGTGAGCCAGTGACCGAGTTATCTGCAACACCCCCCCCCCCCAGCTCTCTTTCCCTGGCGCTCCCGCCTCCTTGTTTGTAAACATGCGTCCCCTCCCTCCCGGAGGACCATAGCGCCCTCCCCCCGGGGCGGGGCGGGGAGGGGGAGCTTCCGCCCTCCTAGCCTTGACCGTTTGAGGCCCTGCACTCTGGAAGTAACTAGCGTGGGAAGGGCTTTTCCTCTGGAGCTTGAGGGCTCTGGACATGTGAAGGTGGATCCTGTGCCCTTGGAGGGGTTTCCTGCTTATCTCCTTCACTTTCGCGATCCGGCTACCTGGTTATAAAGTGGGAAAGGAAGAACTGGATGTTTCACTCCACGTGCTGCCCCACCCACAAGGGACGGTCAAGCTTAGGGTGACCCGGTAGTCATCTAAATAACCTTGCTTGGAATTTTGCCTCACCTGAGCTTCGCTCCTCTCCTTTGTCAATCCCCCGCTCCTCCCCCCCCACACACACACTGCCACTACAATTGGGAGTTAAAATGTAGTTGACGGTAGGGTATCTCTGGATCTGTGGACTTGGTGATGAGTGGAGTGTGGTGAAGCGGCGTGCAGCAGGGGATTAGAGAGAGAATTAAAGCCTCCAGTTGGATGAACGAAGACTCATATTTTCTTTTTGTCTCTTCTGTCTCTGTGTGTCTCTGTGCTCCTATGTATCCCTTCCTTAGATTCCCGAAGCCCAGACAGCTCCTCCCCAAATCACCTTACCCAGGGGGCCCCTCCTCCTTCTCCTCCTGGGCCACCCCTGCCCCCTTCTGCAGCTCCATCCCTTGGAAGCACTGGGGCACCACCCCCACCCCCACTGCCACCACCTCCACTGGGCTCCCCCTTCCCGGTCATCAGCTCTTCCATGGGGTCCCCTGGTCTGCCCCCTCCAGCTCCCCCAGGATTCTCCGGGCCGGTCAGCAGCCCCCAGGTGAGAGGTTGTGACCTGCTTACTGCCTCTCTGCTTTCATTTCCTTATTTCCTTGACCCCAGTTCCTTATGTGAACTTCCCTATGGCCCACTGACCTTCTAGTCTTTTAATGCTGGTCGGCCTGTGGTCTTTGTGAGATCTCCTTGACCTTTCTGAGGTGTCTGATCTTTCAGTGCATGCTTCCTCCTCAGCCCTGTAAAAGGACCCTGGAATTCTTGATATCCCTTTCATCTGTCAGTATTTTCTGCCCTTTTGGTCCCATCTGTCCTTCTAAGATACATGTCCCCTTAGGGCCATTGTGTTGCACGATTTCAGAGAGCACTATTTATATCTATTTTCTTTGGGATTGTGTTCCAAGAGTGATACTCACATAGACTAGAGTATAAATAGTGTTCTGTGGAACGTGCAATGCAGGCCTTACCTAGGTGGGAGGGAATGATTCCCATCACCTATGAGAATCTTCTTCCCGATGAGTCTCTCTGTGACTTCCCCATTTCCCTCATCCCAGATTAACTCAACAGTGTCGCTCCCCGGGGGTGGATCTGGCCCCCCTGAAGATGTGAAGCCACCAGTCTTAGGGGTCCGGGGCCTGCACTGTCCACCTCCTCCAGGTGGCCCTGGGGCTGGCAAACGTCTGTGTGCCATCTGTGGAGACAGAAGCTCAGGTATGGGGCTCAGAGGACCAGCAGAGAGAGTCTGGGCCACTTCCCATTGGGAATTCCCAGGGACTATGGGATTAGGTCGGAGTAGGTGTGCTGGAAGAGCTCTGGTGGCATAGTGCCTAAGGCACTTGACTGCTAACCAGAAGGCTGGCAGTTCAAACCCACCAGCCACTCCTCAGAAGGAAGGTTGGGCAATCTACTTTCATAGTGATACTGCCTCAGAAACCCAAAGAGGGGTCGCTATGAGTTGGGTCTGACTCGACGGCACATAACAATAATAACAAGAAGTGTGCTGGGGGTGGTCTGGTGAGAGCTAAGGAACCTGAAGCTAAGGTGCTAGATGGGGTGTAGGAGGGAAGAGGAGGCTGAGACAGGGGGAAGAAGAGGCTGGGACAGGGTTTCTGAACAGTGAGAGAGAGCGAAACTGGATCATCCCTCACCTCCTGGTTCCCTATCTCCGTTTGGCAAACACAGGAATGATGTAAACTAAGGTTTGCCCAGGAAGGTTGGCAAGAGATTTGATGGTGACATGTTCTCCGTGCACCTTTCTTATTGCTGTCTCCCTCTCCTCTGCAGGCAAACACTATGGGGTGTACAGCTGTGAGGGCTGCAAGGGCTTCTTCAAGCGCACCATCCGTAAGGACCTGACCTACTCATGTCGAGACAACAAGGACTGCACAGTGGACAAGCGCCAGCGTAACCGCTGTCAGTACTGCCGCTATCAGAAGTGCCTGGCCACAGGCATGAAGCGAGAGGGTAAGGGATTGACCAGGCTTCCCAGCCCATAGGTCCTTCCTCTCCTACCCCACCCTGTGGGAGAGGAGAGAAGAGGTAGAGGGAAGATTGGAGAGAACCACTGACCATTTGTCTCTTAAGGCTGGACTGTTCTCTCTCTCCTCCAGAGGGCGATATTAGATTTCTTTTTTCTGTCCTCATGAACTGTTTTTTCTGGTACACTGATCTAGTCCCTCTAGTTTCCTTCTTAGTGCTTCTGCGTCTCTGGCCAGTTCCTTGACCCTTCCCCAGTCTGGTCCTTGGGTGGGATAACTTTTCCTTTCCCATGATGGGCCTTTCTCTAACCTGAATAGTCCCTTGTCTCTTTGATCTGATGTTTCCTCTGTTTTCCTCTGTTGTCTCTATTTCCTAGTTATGTACAGTCTGTCCTTGTACCTCTGGACCTTCAGCCTCTTAAGCTGTAGACATTACTGAAGATCCTCAGGGCTTGCTCTCCCTTCATCTTGCCTTAAGTCTGATTCGTGGAATCATGGAATTCTAAGAGAGACATTTTAGAGAGTATCTTAGTCAAATATCCTTTAGAGAAGGTGAGCATGAGGCCTGGCAGGTAAAGTGACTTTCCCAAGGCCATGCAACAAAAGAGTGGCAGGGCTGGGATTAGAGCCCACATCTGAAGGCCAGGCCAGTGCTCTTCTTATGGCCTCTTTGTTGAGTCAGAAGAGCACAAGGTTTGCAGTCAGGCACACTTGTGTGAACTTGGGCAAGTTATTAACTTCTCCAAGCCCCAAATTCTTTATCTTTAAAAAGAGAACAATAGTTCACAGGGTTGGTATGATGATTGAATGAATGTTAAAAAGTACTTGGCACATGTTTTAGCCAATAAAGATGTTTTTTAGTAACAAGCCATTTAAATGCTGCTTTACTTTTCTCCCTAATTCCTTTACCCTCCCCTTCTTTTCTCTTTCTTAACTCATTTGTCTATCCTTGCTTCCAGTCTACTATTTCCAGTGACTTCTACAATTCCTGTAAATATCTCTTAAGGGCTATAAGACCCTGATAAGGCCCTAAAGGACATTTTTGAACCCTTCATGACTGGCTGCTGACTGTCCACTTTTTCTCCTCCCCCCCCCAGCGGTACAGGAGGAGCGTCAGCGGGGGAAGGACAAGGACGGGGATGGGGAGGGGGCTGGGGGAGCCCCCGAGGAGATGCCTGTGGACAGGATCCTGGAGGCAGAACTTGCTGTGGAGCAGAAGAGTGACCAGGGCATTGAGGGTCCTGGGGGAACCGGGGGTAGCGGCAGCAGCGTGAGTGATGGGGTCAATATACTCTCCTTCCTGATGGGGTGGGGATGGCGGGAAGGCTAGTTTAGGTCTGTTTCCTCCCCCTCCTCTCCCCTCACCTCTCTCCCCGTCATAATCCTCCTAACACCACCTGGGCTGCCAGGCAAGATCTCTTAAATATCTGAGGTGGGTGTGGTAGCCCCATTTTTCTCCATGCCCAAAACAACCCACCAGCAGAACCACAGGCAAATCCCAAATAAATAATTGCTTGCACTAATACTGAAAGAGGTCAGTTTACAGGGATTGGTTCAGATGGGACTTGAAAGAAGATTGCAGTATAAGGAAGGGGTGTCACA